CAAGACCCCCTCCTCGGCCCCAGAAGATCTCCCCAGGGACCTGGGCCTCTCAAACAGGCCAGGCCCAGAGAGAAAGCGGCCACAATCCATGTGCACGGGAAGACTGGGACCAGTGTCGTCCGCACCTGAGCCTGGGCCACGGCCGGGTGGTCCACGTGCCTGGGACTTGGGTGCCAGGGAGACAAGGAAGACATCACGGGTCCCCTCACGGAGTCGCCCAGGGAAGAGGTTACCTACCGCAGGAGTCGCAGGTGAAGCAGTCAGTGTGGTACAGGCTCCCCATGGCCTGGCACGCCTGCCTCGCTCCGTAGATGCCCAGCCCGCACTTGATGCAGATGCCTGCGCGTGGGGACGGGAGACGGCGGCGGTCAGCGGCCCGCGCGTGCGTCAGGCCCGCGTGCTTCCAGCTCCCGTCTGACGCCGCCCGCCCGCCCGGCCTTGCCGAGTTGACTCCCGAGGCCAGCGTCGCCCGGTTACCAATGGTCAACGTGGGAACCATCGGGGTCCCCACCACTTAGGGACCGTAACTGCTGCGGTGGGAGGATTCAAAGAGCTCAGCAGAGTGCCCGGGACAGAGCCGCTGTTACTGTGCTATATTTATACCTAGACGGCCCTAGACGGCTGTTCTTTTTTGTTTTTTTTTCTTCTCAAACACAGTCTATGACTCTCAATAGAAAGTCATCCTAAGCTCCTTCACCCACGACCTACTCTCGGGCGGAGGGAAAATCCTTTCTACTGTCTGTGAACCAAATCCGACTGTTCAAAATAAAAGTACGTATTTTCTAAAAAATATAATGAAAATATAAACACACATTTTCTGACCCATATGCAAAGAATGAAGACCACGCGGGCACACCGCAGGGTAGTCACCCACCCGCCCCAGCCGCTCTTTCCTCATCTGCACCCCGAGGTCACCGATTCTCTTGGTCACCTGCACACGGATGCTGACGGCCTGCCACCGCCCGCGGGAGGGGGGCTGGAGAGTCCGCAGCGCCCCCACGTCCCACCCCCCAGGAGCCTGCAGCCAGTGCTGGGAGGCGGACGGCAGCTAAATGATACGCCAGGTGGAGACAAGGGCTCAGGAGAAAACCAAGGCTGATGAAAAAGACGTCTGAGGTGTGATCACGTAGGGTGTCTCCCTCCTGGAGACCAGACAGCGGGCAGCCGGTCGAGACATCACATGTCCCCTTCACAGAGTTGCCCAGGGTCTCTCATGCCCCACAGGGGGGAAGACGGGCTCCACCTGCCCTCTGGACCCTAAATCTTCCGGCTGCTCCAGGACAGGCTGCCCTCCCCCGCTCCCTCTTGCTTCCTCCCAGATCTTTCTCCTTATGTAATCTCCTCTCCTGCCATGAAAGACCTCTCCCTGCTGCCCCAGCCGCCCCACTTCCCCGCTTCCCTGAGTCGAGAAAGAGCTTGGTCCACACTTGATCATCTCCTAACTGTCCGCAGCTGTGGACTTTCCATTCTGGTCATGCAGCAGGTGGCCCGTCCCCGCCCCTTTGGTTTCCAGGATACAGGCAGCGCCTGGCTTTCTGGAGCTTCCGCTCCCTTCCTAGCTGTCTGGGGGTGTCCCCTGCTCTGTCAGAGGCCTCCCAGGCTTCCCTCTCCCTGCAGGGAGGGAAGGCCAGTTCAGATGTCCTCGAAACCAGGCAGGAATGTAAACGTGGTCTGGAGGGGACCCAGGTAAAGAGAGACTCGGCTGCCAGAGGCTGCAGCCACAGCTCGGCTCTGCTGAGAGCCACCGGGTGGGAACACGGGCCCAGCAGCATTACCTGAGATTCTCATTTTTAAAGAAAAGCTAGAAGGCCAAGGGCATCTCTACAAAAAATAAAAAATGAGCCAGGCACGGTGGTGGCGTGCACCTGTAGTCCCAGCTACTCAGGAGGCTAAGGTGGGAGGATCATTTGAGCCCAGGAGTTTGAGGTTGCAGTGAGCTATGATCGCCCCACTGCACTCCAACCCGGGTGACAGAGCAAGACCTCGTCTTTAAAGAAAAGGAAGAAAAAGAAAAGCTAGAAATCTAGATCTGCATATGAAATCCTTCCATACTGAAATTAATTACCAACTGAAACATTTTGGAAACCATGGAGGCTACACAAACCACACCTGCAGGTCTCCACATGTGGCCCTGGCTTTCCCCAGTCTCCCTGGGCAGTCCCATCCCCTCCTGACTTCTCGCCCCCGCTGGGGCTCCAGCCCACACTCCCCTGAGTCTCCGATCAACCTCCTGGATGGCCCCAGACACCCCCTGCCCAGAACAGAGCTCCGGATTCCCCACAACTTCCCCCTCAGGAAACGGCATTTTTGTGCACCCAGGTTTCGGGGAACATCGACCCTCCCCTCCAACTCTGACTCTCTGTTCCCTAATCTCCACTCGTTCCTTCCCCTCACTCCCACTGGCCTGATACAGAATGTGGATTCTCGTGCAAATGGCTGTTGCCCCAGTAATCCATCCCCTAATTTGCAGCCAGACTTTTCTTTCTTTTTCTTTTCTTTCTTTTTTTTGAGACAAGGTCTTGCTTTGTTGCCCTGGCTGGAATGCAGTGGCATCATCATAGCTCACTGCAACCTCAAACTCCTGGGCTAAAGTGATCCTCCTGCCTCAGCCTCCGGCATAGCTACTCACTGAGTAGGTGAGTAGCTGGGACTACAAGCTTGTCCCTCCATGCCCAGCTAATTTTTTCTATTTTTTTAGTAGAGATGGGGTCTCAGCCTCTTGCTCAGGCTGGTCTCGAACTCCTGACTTCGAGCAATCCTCCTGCCTCAGCCTCCCAGAGTGCTAGGATTACAGGCAGGTGAGCCACCTGGTCCTGCCCCCCTTGTCTTTCTAAAGGGAAGGTGATCTACCTCTCACCTTCATTCTTGTCTCTCAGCTTTGAAAATCCGACCTTGTCATTTCCCTTATTAAGTTACTAGAATAAATGATGAAAAAATAAAACTCGACTGCCTCTGGGAAACAGGACAGGACGGGGGGCAGGAGGGGAAGCTATTACCTTGTATCACTGGTTTTTTGGTTTAGTTTGGTTTTTCTCTAAATATGTGCTTGCGTCCCTTCACTTAAAATACACTGAAGAAGGAAAATGAGGAGAGTGAGGTACCCCAGAAATGAAGGGAACAGAACTCGCTGGGGCGAGCCCACTCACACCGCTAGATACGACAGTGAGATCTCGACAGCGACTGGGGCCGGGGCGTCACCCGTGTCCTGTGCAAGAGCCGATGGCTGAGGGGACACCGTAAGGCGAACAGCAAGGACGACCTCAGCAAGACACTGGGACGCAATGAAAGGGCTGAGGAGACCGCGGTCGTGCAGGTTTGGGAGTGTTTTCTCTGCCTTGTTCTTTGTTTCATGGAAGACCCTTCCTGTACGTCTCTATAACCAGAGGAAAAGGGCCACGGAAAGGGGAAAGCTGAAGACGGAGGGGGTGCCGGCTGGAGAGGGAAGGACCCTTATCCTCTCAGATGGCGGCCCAGTGAGGCTGGGCGTGGACCGGATGGAGACAGACTGCACCCACCGACCTCAATGTCCTGAGCGAAGCAGAAAGCAAAGCTAGGGGCGGAAGGGAGAGGAAGGTTGCTGAGGGAATGACAGAGGGAATGGACCAAGGCTCAGGGTGGTGCCCAGAAGACCCCGGAGGTTGAAGCCCGTGCACCTGCCATGGTCCCCCCCAGCCCGCAGAGCAGCGCAGAGCGGGGCCGCAGCACCGACCCAGAGTCGGGGTTGTGCCATCATGGGGGTCACAGGAACCGGTGAGAAGCAGGCTACAGTCACAACCAAAGACTGCTGAAGTGACGCAAAAATAGGGTGTGGCCCTGGCAGTGGGTGGCTGAAGAGAAGGCAGGGAGGTCACCGAAGTTAAAGAGGTTCCGGAAGCCTGAGGCTGCTGCCTGGCCAATGGCAGCAGAAACTGGGGAGGAGAGAGGGGAAAATTCCAAAGACATCAATGAATGGCAGAGAGGGACAAGAGGTCAGCTGGTACCAGGGCCAAGGAGAGGAAGGGATGACAGATGGCACAGAGGGAAAAAACACACTCTGAGGATAAGGTTCATCGGAGATCACTCGAGCTCAGGCTACCTGCAGACTTCCCCTTTTAAAACTTTTTTTATTCCGGTTGCACTATATAAAATTGCTACTTTGAAGCTCAAAAAAGTCAATTATGAGAACTATATAGTTCAAGCAAATAGTTGCCCATAGTTTTAAAAACCAGGAAAATGTTACATAAATCTCCATTTCTGGCTTCTCTTGCAAACAACGAAGCTCTGTCTCCACTCCCCGCACACTCCCTAGTGGCGAATGGGCCACAGCTGAGCACTACTGTCTTGTACCATCAGCACATTACCTGCCTGGGACGACGGCCACCCCAGTGTCACATAAAGATTTAGGAGTGTCCAGGATGGCCGACAGAACACACCCCACCTCACCCAGGCTCTGCAGTGAGCGGGGGACAGAAAATGGGCAGTGTCCCCTGAAGACACCACCGGAAAATATTCTCTCCGGAAGACAGCCCCAGCTTCTGCGGCTGGCACCAGCCTGGCACTAGACGAAACAGTTCCTAACTCATCTCGGTGAGCCCAGGCCATCTGACCGCAGCCACATGACCTTCCAAACCACGACTTCTCACCCTGACCTCCAAGACAGCAGGTGTTCCCCATGCCAAAGGCAGGCCGACCTTTTAGCCCACATGCCCTTGACCCCCTGACCCCTGCTGGCTGCAACCCCTGGGGCAAGTGAATACCGTACATCTCCTGCTGACATTGTCCCCTCTGCCTGCAATACCCCATCTGGCCCTGCACGTACAGCCTCCTCACCCCTCGGGAGCCAGCGCAGGGCAGTCCTGAGCTGCTAGCTGGACTGAATACCTGGGCAGCCTCAGTCCCAGGCAGGAAAACCAGACACCCCCCTCCAAAGCCAGGGGCTTATCAGTGAGGGAGGGAGGGGCGGTCTGTCCCCAGGCTCCACCGTACTCCTGCCCCTGCTCAGGGCGTCACCCTAAGAGCTGTCTAGGGATGGGGGAGCGGGGAGCCGGGGCCTGTCTGACACCGGTGGCTTTGCAAACGCGTGTGAAGCGCAGTTCTTTTAGGAAACATCCCGTGTACCCAGCACGGCCCAGAGCGATGGCCAGCCCAGGGTGACTGTCCCGGGGGCTGGGGGGCCTTCCCTCCGTCACACACTCTCCACCTCCAGCCACTCCCATCACCAAGCCTCGGGTCTGGCGGGGTCGGACGGTACCTGAGCCACTCACTCCGCCTCCCAGCCCTGGCCCGCGCCCGCTCACCGAAGTAGTCCCGCGCGGTGCGCGCCTCCAGCGCCCGCTCCAGCTCTCGGGTGAGCGCCTCCAGCCGCCGCTCGGCCGCGCTCGGACCGCCGTCCCGGCCCGCGGCGAGCTGCAGCGAGGGCAGCGCGAAGGGCGCCGGCCCGGCGGGCTCCGGGGAGCGGGCGGGCGCGGGGCAGGCGCCGGCCGCAAGCAGGTCGGCGTAGGCGCCGGCCGAGCCGCGGGAGCCGAGGCTGGACACGCTGGAGCGGGCGCTGCCCGCCGACGGCGGCCCGGGGCCGGGGCGCGGGTCCGAGCGGCCGGGGCGCGGGCTGCCGTGGCGCTGGTCGTAGCCCAGGCTGATGCCGCTGGAGCGGGCGCTGCCGCCGCCGCCGCCGTCGGAGCCCGCCAGGCTGGCGCGCGGGCTGCCGGGCGGCT